AAAAAAAAAAAAAAATTACAAAGGAACTTTGAAAAAAAACATTAAAAACTTTTGTTCTTTAACAAATATTGCTTTTTTAAAGTTTACGTATGTATTTTAAGAGGGGGGAGGGGCAGAAAGAGGGGAAAGGGCCAAGCTCACCCCAGGCAGGCTCTGTGTTGTCAACGCCTAACACAGGGCTCGAGCTCATGGAACCGTGAGATCATGACCTGAGCTAAAATCAAGAGTCTGACGCTTAACCAACTGAGTCACCCATGTGCCTCAACTTTTGCTCTTTATTTTTTTATTTTTTATTTTTTTTAAATGTTTTATTTCTTTCTAGGAGAGAGAGAGAGAGAGACTGCGTGAGCAGGGGAGGGTCAGAGAGAGAGAGGGAGTGACAGACTCCGAAACAGGCTCCAGGCTCCGAGCTGGCAGTCAGCACAGAGCCCGACGCGGGGCTCGAACCCACGAACCGCGAGATCATGACCCAAGCGAAAGTCGGACGCTCAACCGACCAAAAAAGATAAAATGAAGGGGCACCTGGGTGGCTTAGTCGGTTGAGCGTCCAACTCTTGTTCTGGGCTCAGGTCACGATCCTAGGGTCGTGCTGGGCCCTGTGCTGAGCATCGAGCCTGCTTACAATTCTGCCTCTCTCCCCATCTGCCTCTCTCCCCCACCTGTGCACTCGCTCGCTCTCTCTCAAAAAAAAAAAAATTAAAAAGAAATAAGTAATCTAAAAATGGAAACAATCATTATTTCTCATTTAAGATACATCTATTGACACACAATGGGCTTTGCATAGTTTTAAATAAAGTAATAAATGAACACAGTATTTTTTAAATTTCTGTTTTAATCTCCTGGCAGGGGGCATGTTCCCAGAGAAAATGCACATAGAGAAGAACTCTCTGGGGCCTCGGGGCTGGGAAGTACTCCTGTCAACCAACCATCACTGAGCTCCCCAGAGAGCTCCGGCCACCAGCTCTGAGGGAGGGAGCCCTCAACCTGAGGTGTGCAGGCTGCCGGACCGTTCCTGGTTCGTGACAAGCTAACAGAGAGTAAATCTTCAAAAACCTTTCCTGCATTTTTATACTGCCACTCAACCAAGCACATGATCGATGGCGGTGTATTCCGTAGCTCTTTGGGTTTTTTCCCTCCCCATTTTTCAGCTGTTCTTGTTGTAACTTAACAAAAGTGGGTCTGCGACGGTTGGGAAATGTTTAAAAGTGATCTTTCACCGCAGACACGTGGAGAAGCACTAAACTAGACACCTTGTAATTAAATAGCAGTTGGGAGGATTCTGAAAGCAAAATATTATCAACAGATACTATTGCTCCACGATTAATGACATTCAAGAGAGCTTCCCACACGTGACGTAAATATCTCACGTAAATATCTAAACAACCGTCCTTAAAATGGAAATTAGTAATGACAAAGCCGTACATACCCTCCTCGGTGAAGAATTTTTCTACGGGCCCCACAAACTGGTTGATTTCATGAAGTTCATCTTGGCTAACTTCTGGAAACGGGAAAACTTCTTTCTAAAAACGATCAACATTCACTACATATTAGATTGTCAGCGACCCACCGGAGCGGAAATGTCAGTCAAAAGGGGGGGCAACAGGGTGCCCGGGGGCTCAGAGGCTGGGCCCGACTCCTGCTTTTGGCCGGGATCCCGAACCGGGTGCTCACGCGAGAGATCAGAAGGGCAACCGCGGCCCCGGAACTGCGCTTCAGACTCCGCGCCCCCCTCGCCCCGTCAGCCCGGGCGGGCGCAGTCGGACTCTGACCTGCGCTCCCGCCGGCGGCCAGGCGGGCGGCGCTCACGCGGCCGAGCCCGGGCTTTGCTCCCTGACGCGCAGCCCGCTGCCCGCGGGGCCTCAGCCGGACCCTCACCTCTGCCCGCCCGGCGGCGCGGGTACCGTCTACCCGGCGGCGCCCTGAGGGCCGTGAAAGGGACCAGACGGGAAAGCTCGCCGCTGAGGCGTCTACACTGGTTACCTTGTCCCGCCGACGAGAACCCGCCGCGGCGGCGAGGCCTCACGTCCCTCCGGCCGCGGAGCCACAGCGGCCTGCGGCCAACACGCGCGGCGGGCGGGGCTCAAAGGGGCCGAGCCGGGCCCTGGAACCGAGGTGACCGCGGCGGCCCGTGCGGCCCGGTGCCGCCCTCCCCGCCACCCCCGCCCCTGCGTCGGGCGCAGCACGAGTCCCCGGCTTCGGTGCGCAACAGCCGGGAAGCGAGGCCCCGGGCTGCCCGCCTCACGGCACCTCCCGCCGGGCGTTCAGGAAAGGCCTCCACGGAGGGCCGCCCCCCATCAGCCCCGGAAGCCCGTCGCTCAGCCACACGCTCCCACGACGCCAGGCCTGGGGCGGCCCCTATCCAGAGGCGACAGCAGCCTTTCGGGAACCCCCGCCCCCATCCCCGGGCCACCCCTCACCCCGCCCCCACGATGGCCCAGAAGGAGAAGACGCGGAGACCCCCAACCCTCCGCACGGCCTCCGGACAAAGCCTGGCAGACGTCGGGGGGCCCGGCCCAGGCCCGTCAGCGCCCGTGCGCCGTGTGGCTGAGGCCGCGGCAGAGGAGGGGGCTCGGTTCTGGCACAGGGAGACCAGGGGGCGGCGCGGCGGGCGGCCCCTCCCCCGTAACCCGAACCCTCGGCGCCTGCGTTTGTCCGTTTCGGCCGCCGGCTGCTTCTGCGTGTCTTAAAGCGGCGGAACCTGTTTCGCAAATAAATCGGAACGGGGGAAGCTGCTCCGCGGAGGCTGCAGACGGGGAGGGCACCCGCACGCCGCCCCCCGCGTGACCCCCGCCGGGGCCTCCGGCCACTCCCCCGAACAGCCAGGCGGTGTGACCGCTACAGGCCTAGAGGGTCGTGAAGTCGCTGTGTCCTGAGATCCTCAGCCTCTCGCCTGCTCACGCCCAGCAACGCCCCGGGAGAGGGCGGCCCGCAGCAGCGCGGCCGTGGTGCCGGGGCTCACGGGCGGTCTCCTTCTAAACAGACCCCAAAGGCGGAGAAAACAGATTTGCTGTCGGCTTAGACGTGGATTACGGGAGTAATGGGCCCGACAGCTGGACTGGCTGAGCCGCCGCCGCTGCGGGGAAGCGGGCTGGGGGGGGCGGCGAAAGACCAGCAGGAGCTCCGGTCCAGACTCGCTAGATCTGGGGGCGTAGACCTCCACGTGCAGCTTTTGAGTATAAAGGTAGAGACCAGAGCCTGGAGTTCAGGGGAGAAGTCGAGCGGGAGAAATGGAGGGAGTCACAAGGGTCCTGATAGTATTTAGCGCCGCGGTACTAAATTAGGCTAAAGGAAGAATTGTGGATAAAAAGTCTACAGACTGAGTCCCAAGAAACCCCAACTTTGAAAACCAGACCCATAAATACAGAGAACTAACGGGTGCCCGAGGAGGAGGTAGGAAAACGGGCAGAATGGGTGAAGAGGAGGGGGGGGGTACAGGTTTCCAAGGATGAAGGTACAGCACAGGGAACAGTCGGTGGTGGTCTGCGGCGGTGACAGCTGGCGGCTACACTTGTGAGGAGCCCAGATACAGACCTGTCAAATCACTACCGTACACCTGCAACTAATGTAACATTGTGTGTCAACTATACTTCAATTAAAAAAGGAGATACACCTGAAACTAAGTGTTAACTCTACTATAATAAAAAAATAAAATAAATTGTTAAGGGAGCCTGGCTGGCTCTGTTGGTAGAACATCCAACTTCGGCTCAGGCCGTGATCTCGCTCATGGATTCAACCCCTGCATCAAGCTCTGTGCGGACGGCTCAGAGCCTGGAGCCTGCTTCCGATTCTGTGTCAACCTCTCTCTCTGCCCCTCCCCTGCTCATCCTCTGTGTGTCTCTCTCTCGCAAAATATTAAAAAAATAAAAAAAGAAAAAAGGAAATCTTGCCATTGGCAACATGGACGGAGCTAGAGAGTATGATGCTAAGCGGAACAAGCCAGAAAAAGAAATACCATATGATTTCACTCATGTGGCATTTAAGAAACAAAACAAATGAGCAAAAGGAAACGAGAGAGACACAAACTAAGAAAAAGACTCTTAAGTACAGAGAAGAAATAGACGGTTACTACGGGGGAGGTAGGTGGGGGGATGGTTAAAACAGATGACAGGGATTAAAGTGTCCAATTACCATGATGGGCACCGAGTATGATCAGAACTGTAGAATCACTGTATGGTGCACCTGAAACTAACAGCACTGTACGTGAACTGTACTGGAATTAAGATGAAAACACTTAAAAAAAAAAAAAAAAAAAGGAAAAAAAAAATTCCCAACTCTGACTGCTGGTCAGACCGGCCAATGTTCAGAAGGAAAGGAGCCAAGAGAGAACGAGCAAGAGACGGAGAAACGTAAGCCAACGAAGTAAACAGGAAAGCCAGGAAAACAGGGTTTTTCTTTTTTTTTTAGAAGCCAGGAGTGATGGCCTGTGTCAAACGCCAGGGATGGGCCAAGCAAGACAGGAACAGGCCACTAGACTGGGCGGCACCAAGGGCACTACTGCCCCTGGTCGGCAGATGGCAAAGGGCAAAAGCCCGAACAAGGGGCTGCAAGAGGCAGCAGAGAGGAAACAAGCGCCGACGTCGACGAGAAAGGAGAGTTACTGGATCCGTGAGCCCCTGCGCAGGGGAGAAGGCAGGAGGTCTAGTGTGCAGGCAGGTCCTCGCCAAGAGGAGGTGGTTCATCCACAGTAGCAGAGTGTAGACGTCCGGGCTAGTCGGGGCAGGCGCGGAGTGTAGACGTCCGGGCTAGTCGGGGCAGGCGCGGAGTGTAGACGGGCGGGCTAGTCGGGGCAGGCGCGGAGTGTAGACGGGCGGGCTAGTCGGGGCAGGCGCGGAGTGTAGACGGGCGGGCTAGTCGGGGCAGGCGCGGAGTGTAGACGGGCGGGCTAGTCGGGGCAGGCGCGGAGTGTAGACGGGCGGGCTAGTCGGGGCAGGCGCGGAGTGTAGACGGGCGGGCTAGTCGGGGCAGGCGCGGAGTGTAGACGGGCGGGCTAGTCGGGGCAGGCGCGGAGTGTAGACGGGCGGGCTAGTCGGGGCAGGCGCGGAGTGTAGACGGGCGGGCTAGTCGGGGCAGGCGCGGAGTGTAGACGGGCGGGCTAGTCGGGGCAGGCGCGGAGTGTAGACGGGCGGGCTAGTCGGGGCAGGCGCGGAGTGTAGACGGGCGGGCTAGTCGGGGCAGGCGCGGAGTGTAGACGGGCGGGCTAGTCGGGGCAGGCGCGGAGTGTAGACGGGCGGGCTAGTCGGGGCAGGCGCGGAGTGTAGACGGGCGGGCTAGTCGGGGCAGGCGCGGAGTGTAGACGGGCGGGCTAGTCGGGGCAGGCGCGGAGTGTAGACGTCCGGGCTAGTCGGGGCAGGCGCGGAGTGTAGACGTCCGGGCTAGTCGGGGCAGGCGCGGAGTGTAGACGTACGGGCTGGTCGGGGCAGGTGTCTCTCTCAGGGAGATGAGGCGAAGCCGACAGGCCGGAGTGAAGACGGGGAGGTGGTGCCAGACGCTCGGGCAAAGAGCAGCAGAGGATGTGTGGTCCCCCCCCAGGTGCCGGAACATGCGCCCACGTTCCGGGAAAAGCGGTTTCTCAGACGCTAGAGCCTGGCTTTGCACTTCCTGGCGCGCGAACCACTCGGAACCTCAGCTTCCCCGCGTGCGATGCCAGGCCGGTCAGAGGGACCGCGGCAAGGGCACACCGGGGCGTGACTTCTCACGCGGCACCGTGCCCGCCACGCCGGCCCACCGCAGGGCGTCCACACAGACGCTCTCTCTGCTGTGCTGGGTGCTCGCAGGAGCGGGCAAGCACTGCTTCCCCATTTTGCGGATTCGCACGCTCAGGGCCCGGGGAAGCGAAGGTCACGAGGCGAGGGAGCGAGGCCGGCGTCGGCTACTATTCCGCCCCTCGCCCCGCACGGCCCCTGACAGGTCCAGAAGCGGTTCCACGTGCTATACGCTCACTTGACACGCCCGCGTGAGGCAGCACGCGTCACCAGGTCCGCTTCAAGGCCGAAAGAACGGAGGCTCGAGGTCCCAGGCCCAAGGTCAAACCCACGGAGGAGAGGGAGCCGCGTGCTGGGCAAGGCGGCCGCGAGCACCCACCGGGCTGCACGACCCCGGGGGGGGCGCCGCCGCGGAGCCCTGAGCACACGGGGACGCGCCGGAGCCCGAGCCCTGGGGCTGAGGGGCCCCTGCGGGCGGGCGGAAGGGCGAGGGCGCGAGCCGCGCGTTCGGATCCGAGAGGAGACGCCGCCCGTGCCGGGGCCGGGGCGAGGGCTGCTCAGCGGCCACGACGCCGACGCCTCCCCAAACTGAGGCGAGAATTAGCCGGAACATCTCTCAGACCCCGCGCCCGGGACGCCTCCCCTTTCTGGAAGGTTCTGCGGGGGCGCGGGAGCGTTAGCAGCCGCCCCGCCGGCTGTATCCGTCCGCCGGGTCTGGGGACCCTCACTTCGACCCCTCTTTTCTGCTAACGGGCAAAACGCGGGAGGCAAGAACAGGGGTCACCAGGGCTCGGCGTTACCTTCTCGAGTTTTCCCAGGAAGAGCTCCTTGGCGAAAGCTCGGCTCGGCGGACTGGTGCGCAGCAGGCGGCGGCTCGCGGCCAAGGCCCCCAGCGCCCGGCGGGCCCGCGCCGCCGCCGCCGCCCCGCGCAGGAGGAGCGCCCCCGAGCCCATGGCGTCCGCGCCCCCGGCGGCCGCAGCGCCTTCTTAGCGCCGCGGTCACGTGCACGTGGCTCGCGCCGCCGGATGACGTCACCGGCCGGCGCCGCCGCCGCCGCTGCGCTTGCGCGGCCTGCCGGCGGGGCGGGGGAGGGGCGGCCTCGCGCCCGCGCTCGGCGGCCGCTGCGGGGGTCTTCAGACTCCCGCGGGCCGTTGCGTCAGGGCCAGGCGGGGACGCTTCTCGGCGACGCCCAACGCCGCATAGAAAAGGAAGTGGGGGCGCCTGGGGGGCTCAGTCGGGTTAGCGGCCGACTTCGGCTCAGGCCGTGATCGCTCAGGTCGTGGGTTCGAGCCCCGCGTCCGGCTCTGTGCTGACCGCTCGGAGCCTGGAGCCGCGTCGGGTCCTGCGTCCCCCTCTCTCCCCGCCCTCCCCCGCCCACGCTCTGTGTGTGTCTCTCTCTAAATAAATATTAAATTGAAGGAAAGGAAATGGGGCGGGGGTAGTTACAATACGGGTTATCTCTGCAGGGGAACCCAGGAGGCGGCGTGTTTTGTTAAGAGGGTGGAGGAAGAGGGAAGAAAAGGCTCGTTCCGCCAGGAAGGGGTCTGGATACAGTCCCGAGTCGCCCCTCGCCCTGGGAAACACCGACGAGGCGGGCGGGGAGGAGTCCCCCCCCCCCCCGGGAAGCGAGGAGGGGGCGCTCGGCGGGGGCGCGGCGGGTGGGCGCCCCCGGGGTCGCACGTCCGCCTCCCCCAGGAGGACCTCTTCCCTTGGGCGAGTGCCTCGGTGTTGGAAAGCGCTTCCTGCGCCCGCCCGCCGTGTGGACCGGCCCTATGACGGGCCGGCCTGATGATACACCGTCCGGGAAAAGGGCCCGAACACTCGTCCGGTTGCGGAGTCTGTGCAGCTGTGTCGTCCGCAACCCGGGTTAACTGTTCCGTCCGTAACTGACAAGCTGACACCGTATTTCCTCCTCAGCAGCTCCGCACCGGGAAGGCCTTTGGAAACCGCCTTTGACGTAACCCCGCGGGCAAAACAAAACGGGATTATTAAAAATGAAAACAAAAACACCTGGGTTTTGGGGGCGCCTGGGGGGCTCAGTCGGTGAAGCGTCCGACTTGGGCTCAGGTCATGATCACGGTTCATGGGTTCGAGCCCCGCGTCGGGCTCTGTGCTGACAGCTCGGAGCCTGGAGCCCGTTTGGATTCTGTGTCTGCCTCTCTCTGACCCTCCCCTGCTCACGCTCTGTCTCTCCTTCAAAAAGAAACATTAATTTAAAAAAAAAACAAAAAAAAAACAAAACGGTTTCAAGTTTGGGCTGCTGTTTGCTGCTGTCAAAACATGTCCTGATAACAGGTTCGATCCTGTTCGGTGTACAGAGGTCTCCCTGTATGAAGCAAGAGAGACATTTAGTGGCATAATTTTCAAAACAAAACTTAGAAAAGAAAATAAGGTGTAAGTACTCTAGTGGCACATACAGTGGGAAGAGAGTCATTTTCTGCAAAAATGAGTATAATGCCACTTATCTCACGGGACTTGTGAGGATTAAACAACACAAAAACATCTAGCACAGTAAGTGTTCAGTGTTTTTCCCGTAACACTATAAAAACGAAAAGATACAGTATTCTAAATATAAGATATCCCCATCTTACACTTGAGGAATAGGATGCTGTTTTCTTTTTTTTTTTTAATTTTTTAAATGTTTTTTTATTTATCTCTAGGAGAGAGAGAGAGAGAGAGACAGCGTGAGCAGGGGAGGGTCAGAGAGAGAGGGAGTCACAGACTGAAACAGGCTCCAGGCTCTGAGCTGGAAGTCAGCACAGAGCCCGACATGGGGCTCGAACCCATGAACCGCCAGATCATGACCTAAGCANGAACCCACGAACCGCGAGATCATGACCCAAGCGAAAGTCGGACGCTCAACCGACCAAGCCACCCAGGCGCCCCAATACGTGCCTTCTTCTACCAGCTGGAGGCAGCACGAGAGGGAAGGCGCCTGCGTCCTTGACTCAACCGCATGGCGGCCAGGCGGCCGCGGCATAGGGATGCCCACGTTGGACTGGTACCCGAGCGAGAGGCAGCTGACATTTTGGGGTTTCCTCGTCCAGCGACCAGAGCTGACAACTCAAAATACCTTCCCAGTTTCAAAGAAAACACCGAAGCACAGAAAGGTACAGCGTCAATGCAGCCATCATTCCAAGCGTCCGTCACACTCATCCGACACGCGAATGGAGCCCCAGGCAACCACACGGATGCTGTGAAGGCCCGTCCAGCTCACGGGACACGCTGCCTCGAAGACAGTGAGAACAGCAGCTAAGATTTAGTGGGCGCTTTTCTATGCCAGACACTGTTCCGTGTACGTCGCCTGTGCTAGATCACCGGCTCCAAACAGGCCTGGGCGTCCAGCGTCGTTATTTTATGCCCGTTTTACAAGCGCGACAACGTCCTGCAGGGTCACACGGCGAAGCCAGACTCGGGGCCTCGCCGACCGCCTCCTGATCCTGTGTCTGCTTGGCTGTCTTCCTGAGATGAGGGGAGGCCTGGGGAGGTGAGGGGAGGCACAGACGCCCAGCCCTCTCTTCTCGTTTCCCTGTTCATGGCCGACCTGAAATATGGCCGATGAGTCTGACCGATAAGGTCAGGAGCCCATCAGGGAGACGGGAGACAGAGGCGGGGAGGGGCAGAGAGAGGGAGGGAGGGAGAGAATCGCACGCTGGCTCCCCGCTGTCAGCACGGAGCCCGACACGGGGCTTGAACTTAGACTGTGCGATCAGGACCTGAACCGAAATCAAGAGCCGGATGCTCAACCGACTGAGCCATGCAGGCGCCCCCCGCCCCCCGCCGCCCCCCAGGTCTCAGTGTTTTGGACTCGTCTCAGGAGTCTTTCTGCCGAGCAACGTGTTTTCAGACGAGACCCATCATCCCGCTCTTCTCACCCCGCCCCTGTCACCGCCGCCGTGCCTTAGACACGACACATCACCGGATCTCAGTTTCTCCCTCCTCCATAACATGGTGAAATACAAAGGGTGTATTTTTTATAAGATTAAATGGATTCCCATTGGCTTGTCTTCTCGTTCCAGCCACCCTAGATCTCAGAGTCTAGCAATCCAGCTAAAAAGGAAAAAAAGTCTAAAAATAGGGGCTTTTGAGTTCAGATTTGATCCTTTAAAAAATTTTTAAAAATGTTTTATTTATTTCTGAGAGAGAGAGAGAGAGAGAGAGAGAGACAGCGTGAGCAGGGGAGGGTCAGAGAGAGAAGGAGACACAGAATCTGAAGCAGCTCCAGGCCCTGAGCTGTCAGCACAGAGCCCGACGCGGGGCTCGAACCCACGCACCGTGAGATCATGACCTGAGCTGAAGTCAGATGCTTAACCGACTGAGGCACCCAGGCGCCCCTAAAATATTTTTTAATGTTTATTTATTTTTGAGGGGGGCGGAAGAGCAGAGAGAGAGGGAGACACAGAATCCAAAGTAGGCTCCAGGCTCTGAGCCGTCAGCACAGAGCCCGACGCGGGGCTCGAACCCACGAACCGTGAGCCAAAATCGGCCGCTCAACCGACTGAGCCCCCCAGGCGCCCCAGTTCAGACTTGATCCTAATGATGACCTTTCAAGACCTCAGGAGAGCAGAAATATCAAGAGCATTAACAACGAAGCCAAAGTCCTTTCGATTTTCTCTTCTGTTCCCAAAGCCAAAACAGCCTCAGGTGGAAGTTCTAGAGCACATGCCCCCACTGTTACGGCACAAAAAGTGTGTCAAGCAACACAAACGCCGTGTGAGAATTCCCGAAGCGACTGCTGCAGGTGAGAGCCCGGTGGCCGCACCAACCCGCTGGGGGCTGCTGGCCTCCACCAAAGCCGGGAGGGTGGAGTCGCGTTTCAAGATGGCGAGGAGGCAGGGCCAGCTGGGACCTTAACTCGTGGCACACGGCACAGAGAGAAGGTGCGATGCCAGGCCTGGCTAGAGGGACGTAGGGAGTGCTGTGGTCCCCCGGGACCCCCACCCGCGGTTGGGCTTTCTGTGGTTTCAGGCAGGAAAGCAGCGGGCCCTCCGTCTGATGCACGTTTGGAAGGTCAGCAGTAGCCTAACGCTGCGGCACAAAGCCTGCAGCGCCCCCTCGATCACGGGTGTCGTGTCATCTCACATCGTCACAGGAGGGGTGAGTACGGTATGAGCAGACAACGTGAGGGGCGCCTGGGCAGCTTGCTCGGCTGGGCCTCCAGCTTCTGCTCGTGACCCCGCAGCCCAGCATCGGGCTCTGCGGTCAGCACGGAGCCTGCTTCAGATTCCGTTCCTCCCCCGCTCATGCTCGCTCTCTCCCTCTCTCCCCTCTCAAAAATATAAACGTTACAAAAAGATATTTCGAGGGGCTCCTGGGGGGCTCAGTCGGTTGAGCGGCCGACTTCGGCTCAGGTCATGATCTCGCGGTTCGTGGGTTCGAGCCCCGCGTCGGGCTCTGTGCTGACAGCTCAGGGCCTGGAGCCTGCTTCCGATTCTGTCTCCCTCTCTCTCTGACCCTCCCCTGCTCACGCTCTCTCTCAGAAATAAAACATTTTTAAAAATTAAAAAAAAAGATATTTTGAGAGAGAGGGAGGGAGGGACTGCATTCGCATAACTTTTATTACAGTATATTGCTAACATTGTTCTAGTTACACTTGTTAATCCCTCAGGATGCCTAATTTATAAAGTAAACTTTGTCGTAGACACGTATGTCTATGGGAAAAAGCAATGTACACATAGGGTTTGCGATCTGCGGTTTCGGGGATCCACAAAGGCCTTGGAACAGACCCCCTGTGGACAAGAGAGGACCCCTGCGTTCCTCTTCAACTCGAACAAATACACGCCAGGAAATATGCTTGGGAAAGCGCAGCTCATCACCCGGGAGCCGCTAGCGGAAGCCGGGACACGGCGGGTCTCTTCCCAGAAAACCCCGGGGCTGACATTTCTTTGAAACTAACAACAACGTTGTTTGTAATCCGCTGAGCCCGTGCTGGTGGGGCCGCAAACCAGGTAATGAAGTGCGAGTGGGGAATTCATTTTAATGGTTCA